AGTCAAACTAGAACAGACTCCAACAGTGTCAGTTTCCTTAAGAACTTGTGGTAACAAATATTTGTATCACTCGTCAAATATAGCAGGAATAATGAAGAGCAGCTGATTTGAAAAAGCAAACTCGAGAGACGGCTGAGTGACCGCAGTGCAGAACCGCTGTATAGTTTAAATCTCCTAACAATGTTGTCCATTTTAGACATAGACTTATTATATTTACAGCCCTTAATAACATTCATTCTCTGGGCTCAATATGTGTCTTGGCCATTTTCGTTTTGATCGCTAAATTCCCCTTGTTTATAATAATCACCGTTCCTTCAGCAGGATACTGTAGTGATTCAAAGTGTGATTTTAGCAAACGAGTGCTTTTGTTTTGAAATCACTTCCGTGAGTTTGGCCCCGCCCCTCACTCCAAGGACCATTAAGTAAGGTAAAAAGCAAAAAGGCCTCTCAGACGCTCTTCCGTTTACGTGTTTAATAAAGAAAAACAATTGGACGGTAGATACACGGATTATTTCCCCATTACAATACCATACCAAAACCATAACAATACAGTGTAAAATACAATCTGAATTTTAGTCATTTCTGTACACAGAGATTTACCTTGGATTACATATCAGCACACATACTAAAATATTTTAGAAATTGATTAAGTATGAATTATACTCAATTAGTTAATTGTTCCAATTTTTGACAATATATGGAAATCCATGTTTTGATACTATTTTATTCAATGCAAATAATATCACAATTGAGAGTACAAAATAATAGGATTTTTCTCCGTCACTGCAATGACTTAGAAATCCACATGAGGGCACTATCACCTTTATTAAGAAAGAGCTCTGAGGCTTTCCTTCATCCTCACTTCACCTCAGCACTACTGTATGTCAACTCAAAACGAGGAAATGCCCAGACATTACTTTACGTTGCACAATAATCTGAAACTAAACATAATCTTTGATGCTGGCGGAAGAGGACAGCTCTTCAGGTATGCATTGAGCCCTGTTAACAGCATTCAGGCTGGAGGCTGTCTACCTGCTCATGGCAGGTTGATGCCAAGGTCCTCTCATGAATGAATGGACGGTGGCCTCTGGGGATAAATCGAGAAATATTCCCATAATTCAGCAGGGGTGACTTGCTGTGGCCTGACCACTCTAACCACAATAACAAGAGCATTTTAGAGAGGGAGCAAAAGACTCCGCAAGAAAAAGAGAGTGACATACTGAACAGCCTGTGTTTATCAGAGCTTGGGGATAGAGGAGCTGCACTTCCATCAAAAACACAGCGGGGAGTGTTTCCTGTGTTGATTCTCGTTTTATGGGAGTGGGATGATTAATCACAGTTGGACCACTGGGATTGACATTTAGCTACAGATACTTATGCAGCTTTGTGTGATGAATAAACAAAGAGTCTGTGCCATTGTGTCTAAATGCATCGTCTGCTAAAGGCAGGCTCTGCCATCTCACTGTTTTGGAGTCGCACAACCCAGATCCCTGGAGCGAGGAGTTATGTTACATCACCTCGCTGTATTCAGATCATACCTGACCTTCTTTGGAGGATTCACTCAGATCAGATAAAGCTGCATGCTGATCCTGAGCAGCAGGATGTCCCGATATATGGATTGAGAGATATCCAGCTTTTATTCTGTCAGCACCACCTGTGCGTGCGAGATGCTCTTAAGAAGTTTCTTGTTCTTTGATCGCAAATGGAAGTACGGAATTTTAGAAAAGTTTGCAGTTGCATCCAAATATAGGCTGGTAGAAAATGTCTTCTACCATAATGTAATCCTCAAGCTAAACTTAAACATATCCTGCATAGATTTAGATAATGCTATGAACAGACATTTTGACAGCTGTATCAACATATACTTGATTCTTCTTCTTAGCTCAGGCCCATTTGTGCTTGCACATGTTGGAACGTGTCGCTGTGATGGAAGAACGTCACGGTGCTAAGCCTCGGTGTGGGCGAACATAACAAAAGCCTCATTGTGTCTGTACCATAGGTCTGTACCTGTGTGTCTCACAGTAATAAAATAAAGACATCGCCATGTTTCCAGTCTAAATATTGTTAACCATGTGGTTAATGTGCTCCAAAAGCCCCCTCTCCTCCAGAGTCTGCAGGTTTTACGCACATCATCCAGATATGACAGAGACAAAGACAGAAGGACAGAAAAAGCATCAAGTAGACAAAGTAGCAGAGATGTTTTCAAGGAGCAGATTAACTGAGAAAAGCTACAAATACAGTGTGTTAATCAGATAGCATAATCTCACATACAGATGTCCTGATGCTGATGTTCAGGCCCCTGGCAGTTACTTGACACCCGTCATATGCTCAAACCTTACCCTTACAAGACAACGGACATCTCTGTACAACTCTGACTTCCTCCCCATTTCCCCCAATTTCCCCTCCTCAAACCCCCCCCCCATAACATCCCGTCTGTCCGTCTGCCAGAGACTGTCTACGTGTTGTGTTCAAACTGTACGGCCACATTTAGACCAGTGGAATAAATGTGTTGTGTTTTCCTTCAATTGCTCTCCCTGCTTCTCTAAGACCTCTTTATTTGCTGTCGCATAACAAGCCATGTTCTTGTTTTCCATCCGTGTGAGGGCGTAGTTGTGGATGTTACCGAATGGCAAAAAACTGTTGAGCAGTATTTTTTTGTGGTATTTTAAAGAATTCAAGTCTGTTGAGACCTTGTTTTGCTTTACGAACAGGGAGTCATTTTTATTTCTGTAACGGCTCATTTTAACGGCATCTGAGACACCATAACAAGCCTGGCATTTATACATTTGAAAAATACATTTTTAGAAGAACTGATGAGACTGAATTAGGACAAAACTATGAAAATGTTGCATTTACGATAATGAAAGACTCATCAGTCATCAGTTTAGACCTTGGTTAAAAATACAGATATCCAAAGCAGAAGTCATTAATTATTTTAGGCATCCTTCAGGTAACCGCCCCTGATTTTTGAACTCCAACGCACCACAAATACTTTTGGATAAAAAGCTAGTGAGAAAACATCTGTCATTTTGTATTCCCTAATGGGAAGTCTTACATTATTGTACCTCTCATATTCTAAATCTATTAAGCCCAATAAAGCAGGGACTGTGTTAGCACATCCTACAACAACAACGTTAAAACTGGCAGATATTTGACTGCAATTACCATCACTTCCAAAAAAATAAACTACAGTATATCATAAAACTCCAATTCCCAACAGACAAAAACCTATGACATCTTTATGGTGAGTTAAGTTGAATATGGCAGCTGGAAATAGCACCATGTGTACCGTGGAAATGTTGTGATGACTGCTATTGCAGATAGAGAAAACTCAGGATTTTACATTTCCTCTCCCCTCTTTCAGTTTTTTTTATTAGAGCAGTTAATACAGGCTGATCCAGCAGGGGAAAAATGAAAAAGTGTTTGTAGTGGTGGAGCCTGGAGAACAAAATCACTAAGCCTCATAAGTCAAGAGAAATGGAAAGGTTGTCAATATACCAAGCCAGAAGGAAAAATAAAACAGTTTTATGTAACCAACTTCTCTTTGTATGCTTCATATGCTACACATATATAGTGCAGCACCTACGAAGGGAAATTAAACTGAGACTGAACTTGGGCACATTTGAGTCAGTGAGGCATGTGATGACTCCTTCTGTGAACTGGATTTTAAGTAATACTCTGAAATGCAAATTGCATGATAATCAGACTGATCACCTGGCAACATGACAAACCCTAACCCTAAATTACATTCTACATTACCTTAAAATATTTACACTAGCATGTTATGTTGTTGGGTGTGAATGTATTTGTTTAGTTTCTCTTTTACAGTAAAGCTTAACTCTGCTTCGGTCCAAAATCATAAAAATACCTAAACATGTATTTATTTCTACTGTAGGTCATTTTCAGCTAGAGTAAAAAAAGAGAAGTGAAAGTTTCATTTTGAAACTTCCCTTTTATGCCATTTTTCTCTCTGGATTATTTTTTTGCAAAACAGCCTAATTTATCCAAGCGTTACACACATTAAAAGCATTGCTGTTTATTTGGAAACACATTTTTAGATCGATATGGATAGTGTCAATCATTTACTTCTAAAAGTATCAGGATTGAAAACTCAGTGCAGTGTGTCTCATCATCTACGTGTCCTGTCAAAATGTATTTGAGCAACACCCGATCCCTCCCTTTAAGCTGATCAAATAGCATCAAAACATCTCATATCTAATGCTTTTAGACACCATGTGCAGCTCTATATCCAGGAAACTATTTTTGCTCCACACGTTTGCTAGTACATCAAAAATATATTCTACCATGGCATAGGCACACAAGCAGTTGGAAAATGAAACAGTTGTATTATTTCTATGTAACACAACCACTTCCTACCATGAGAGCTATTAATCACAAGCTGACAAGTTGACTATTTCAATGTGAACATTAGCCTGCACGAAGAAAATAAAAGCAACGGAAATTGCATGAAAATAATCTCTGCAGGGATCTTTTAATCCTCATATGATGTGGAAACTATTTATATAAACAGCTAGGTAATTAGCAGTCAATATCAAAAACACCATCAAGATAATTTCAAGCGAACTTTCTTGTATTCGCACCACAGCTGGAGTTTTCAACTGTCAGTTCTGCCCAAATTACCGTTGGCTCACTCCGGGCAGCATTTATTTAGCCTTTTAGTGACAAATGTTAACTGCCCCGGTATCTATCGGGTCACACTTATTTTGAGTACGTCCAATGGGGACCACAAATTATGTGAGAAATTGTCTTGATAACTCAGTTTCCTCTGAGAGATATTTACATCAGGGAGAATACAAAGATAAATAAAAAGCCAGTTGTTTGTGCACACATCTGGTGTTTCCTGTATGTTTTACTGTTTATGCTACTGCATCTTTTACCAGCTGTCCTTATTCCCCAGTGTGCATTTGTGTTTTAAATATCTATTCCATAGACTTAAATTCCTGGCATCGCTCTGCCTGGGAAAATACCCCCACTAGTCCTTAGTGTTGCAGTCCATGTTTCCTTACAGTCTCCTGGAGTAGTGCATGTGTTAGTCCTTGTGGTGAAGTGTTGGCAGTGTGGTTCAAGTCCGTTTGTGAGTCAGACTTCTGAACTGAAATAAATAAATTACTCATAAATTGAGATGAGATGGTCGATACCCCTCTCATATCAAATAGTAGAACCATCAAGCTTTTTGTCCCAACTATCAGCAACAAAGTCAATGAGTATTTTTCACACAGCGAAATCACTAACAGTTTATATATCGGAATCTATTATTGCATACCTCTTTAACGCTCTGTGCATGCAATCAAAGCAAACAATAAGCAAATACATGTTAACACAGTGACAGCGGTAGAAAACAGCATGTATAAAATCAGTAATTGGCATTGTTGAATTCTTGATGATTCCCACTCAATGTAATGCCTGTGCTGCAGTGAGCAACATTTTGTTTTTGTTCCTGCTTCAGTCCACATGACTATCATCAGTTTGCCCTTAGTTAAAACGAAACATTTATTTTTCTTCCTACCTGAAATGATCTCGAAGAGAAATTTCCCTCCTTCATCGCCGCTGGTCGGATGTTCTGTAACTTTGTTTCCAGGTAAGAAAATGGCTCCCTGTGGAGAAACAACATGACAGTTTAGAATAAGGTTATTTTAGATAAAACATTTAGGATTAAATACTGACTTAACGTCTTCGGCATAATACATCTGTTCAGTTAAGTATATTCCCTTTACTTTACACTTATTCATCCTTATTGTTTAAAGGGGACCTATCATGCAAAATGCACTTTTTGATGTCTTTTATACATAAATATGTGTCCCCGCCCCGGTGTGTCGCGGAACTCACAAAGTGTCGGAAGACAAAACCCTCTCTCTTTTCCTCCGTACACACATCTCTAAAAAAAAGAAAAGAAACGGGGGTGCAAACGAGCAGATCCAGGATTTTGGCTCCTATGACGTAATTGGCGGCATGTGGCACACGTGACACATCCAAACCTATCGTCTCCGGCACACGTGACACGTCCCAACCTATCGTCTCCGTACAGTCGTCTAGCTGAATCCCCTCTCGCAGCTGTGTGTCTGTGTATTCAGCAGGATGTCTGCAGGAGGCACTTAGAGTAAAGTTGTTATATAATACATATAATGGCACTGTTTTAGCGGTAAACACTTAAGAAAGAACATGTCAAGCTATGTGCTGTATCAGAAACAATGCACGGCGTGTTTTGGGAGAAATATGGTCTGTGTTTCCATTAGCAAGCATGCTAACACTCAGAGCTAATGCTGTAGGCTACTGGAGAAAATATGTGTAAGGCAGTGGCGTGCAAAACGCATCAATGACAGCGACCCTCTACCACACAAAACAACACAATTTATATAAACATCTATCATGACAGGGCACCCACAGCCAAGTAACAATTCAAAATGAATTAAGTCGGCATGGCGGCCCACATTGAAAATTACTTGGGCCTACCTTTGATGATCAAATCACTTATACAGAAAGTCCATCCTCCTATCCTTTTGGATGAAGTACTTGATGGCGGGTCATTCAGCTGATCCTTTGCCACTCCAATTTATCATTGTAACTCAATCTTGAAAATGACTCTGTTAATAATTTCGCAACAATGTCATCACTATCATTGACGTGAGCCATCATGAACGAACTTATGCTAATCATAAATCTGTCCGGCAGTGGCTCAGTCAGTAGGGGCTTGGACTGTGGGGCCGGCGACCGTAGGGTCGCCGGTTCAAGTCCCCGACCAGACCTAAATATGAAGTGTGGACTGCTACTCGGAGAGGTCCCAGTTNCATGTGGAGATTATCCGGCTGAACAAAACGTGCATTTATCTAACAGGTTCGTTTTCCGCAGACCTTATTTCGAGCAATTTTCCAAAATCCTATGGAGAAATCCCATTGCTTTTTTGTCGAGGTAACCCATGCGAAGCTTACTTCCGGGTTTTAGGACGCGTCACTGCACCTCTCTATACACATGCATAAACTTCACAGCGGGCGGAACTTGTCATAAAGCCCACTCATTTAGAGGGAAGATATGATTGGTCAATTGTACTGTCATTTGACATTACTCTCTCGTTGAGTTACCCTAGCTGGCACTCTGGTGGTCCTGCTATGAATTCACAATCAGCTCCTGTCTTCACAGTAACTCGCAGAGACGGCTCAAGGAGCTTCTTTCATTTAACCCTTCACATTCAAACTAAAACTGAACAGGCAGATTCGAAGGATTAATTTCTTTCGAAATGTTATTTTAAATACAACTAAATCAAGTTTCTTTTTAAATGTTTTTTTTTATGTTTTCAAATATGATTTTTTAGAATATCTTAGGCCCTATGACGGCTCGCCACTGGTGTAGCGTAATGTCCTTGTGGTAAACCCTGCGAAAGAGAAAGGTTTGAGCTCCATACTTTTTCAGAAATAATGCTTGAAGTGGTTGGGAACATAATATGGCATTTAATCACGGCAGCGTTTAGCTGAGTTTCTCCCGGTAGAAAACTCTTAGCAGGGGAAAGCTGCGGAGACGCTACAAAGGGGCGTGGCTAGCAGCAGACGTTCCATTTAAAGCAGAATCAGCCTTTTTGGAACAGGGCTGGAATAGAGGGGTATGAGCAGTATGAGGCATGGCTACAATGGGTGATCTGTTTGGTATTTTAAGCAAAAAACTTCACAGACATGTTTTGTATAGGTATGGCCCTACAATATATTTTTCAAATATAGCATAATAGGTCCACTTTAAGTTTGACACTTTGATGCTAAAATGTTGCCTAGTTTAAGACCACGCAGTGCTTATTTGAGTTGCATTTAATTTGTAATGTTTTTTTTTAGATTGTACTGCACATTTGCCATTTGATATAAACAGTTCACTCTGCAAGACCTTTCCATCTGCACACCTGAGCTCAGCAGCTCACCAAATCTCATGTTCCATAACAGGAGAAATATGTTTAAATCCCTGACATATTAGTCAAACTAGTTTGCATCATCATATCCAGTATTTCAACATCTTTGCCAGTCAAAAGGTTGTACACAAGTCCCCATGGGCGGGTCTGGATGATGGAGCTGAGCTGTTATAAAATGTGGCAAAGTGGCAGCATTATAGTGCATCACCATCTCTGCCTCAGCTCTGTCCACAATGATACATAATCTGGGTGACACTGGAGGCCAAATCATCTCCGCTTTAAATAGCAGGAGACTCAGCATCAGCTTTTTCCAGACTGTACCTCTCAGTGACCTTACTGTGGAGACTTCCTGTAGGTGAGAGAGGCGGGGGGGGGGCAGATTTACAGCATGTGTCTAAACAAGAGACTGACACACTCACTGACTGGACCAGAGATTAGATATTTACCTCTAATATACCTGTACTCAGAAAGGCCACAGGTAGTATGTGAAAATAGTGTGTCATTTTTATATTTTATAACATTTTATCGGCGAAACGGTCAGTCTATAAGTTAAAAGTAATGTTGAATTGCTATATAATTCAACAAATCATTAGATGCAACCCTTAAGAATTACATTCTACTGTAAGAGTTTTAAGACTATATATTTTAACTACATACACCACACGCTTAGCAATTTAGTAACTGCGCAGTAAATCACAAGTACCTGCATGTGGTAATTCTATCGGAATTACAAAGAAGTTACCGTACTTAAACTGGGGAGTAACTATTAGGCAGTTAATTATTCTTCACAGATAAAATGAGAAACTATAAACAAGGATTACAACACAACCAGCTGTAGGTTGACCCATTATGCATTCAAACAGTGACTCTTTACTTGATGAACATTGTTACATCCGTGCCACAACGCAGCATCTGACAATCATTAGAGTGCCCTTCATCTGGTTAACGCAGACAAGATGTGCATTGGTGACAGCAACAGTATTAAGGAGCCAAACACATTAACAGGATCTGAGGGGAGTCCGTTTCCTTCCTGCAGAGAGAGGGCTCTTTAATGAGCCATAACTGTGACAACCAGGACGTGGAAACCCTACCTGGGGCCCACATGAACCTCTTTAAAGGGTTATAAAAATGGGACAGACATGCTCACGATTGGAGGAATGAGTGTTTGATGTGGTTGTCCGCAAGAGAATCTGCTCAGCTTCAGTGTCATGGGATTAAAAACTTCTCTAAGAACTTCTTTTTTTTTTTCTTCGAACACAGATCTTTTTGTCATGCACATTGTACTGGATCCAAGGAAACAAGAGATGACTTCAATGGTTCGTGTGTGGGTGAGATAGACTTAAAACATGTATGCCTTATGGGTTGTGTATATTATTAGAAAGAAGAAAAGGACCTGCCTAGTTGCTCCATATTCCGAAGCCACAAAACCACTGATATTCCCTCCCCTTCTAAGCCACAGCCACACTTTCCATATTGACATCCTCCCTGGTGGCCTGTTGTTTGCTGCAGACAAACCCCACCACAGACAGCGTAATATTTACAAAGCAAAGAGTAGCCTGGCCCAACCCAACATGGCAAGAGAACCCAACTTATTTTGGGGGTTTCTCTGCCATTTTAATAGTCGTTAACAAGGATGAGGTCATTTTCTGGAAACAGTGTAATGACACAAGCCCACTTATCTTTTGTTCTCAACCAAAAAGCTCTGCACACACATATGGGAGAGAAGAGGCTCAGAGGAATCTGTTTGAGGGAAGCGACAGCAGGAAGCTCAGGTTGCTGAGCCGTTTCTGAGGCTTTGTCTAAACAGTACACTCCAAATTAAATCAAATTCAGTGTGTTTTCTCATACTGCAAGCAAATACCATAATACTGATTGTATTGTGATTCAAGCACTTCCAGTTTTTTTACCACTGCAGCTATTAAATCCAAATGTGATGTCCTGTGAACTTTCGCGTTTGTTTGGAGTTTATTGACAGTTATAGGGTGAATGGAATGGTGCGCCTCATTGTTACTGCAGCCTTAGACATTTGATTAATTACCACTAGGTCAGATTGGCTTTTCCAATAAAATAATAGGAATACTCAGTAGCAGCTTGTACACCATGACATATGCAATCCACTGTTTATATCTTTATATGTTCTGATGAGTCAATGGAAATAATTTGTGTCCTCTGCCCTTTAAAGAATGTAGGGCTTTCTCACCCAGCCGACAGAGAACGGCTAACTTTATCTTCCCTTTTGTGCTGAGAGGCTATTAAACAGTAGGTTTTTATTTATTTTTCCACTGAAAACAGCTGCACCAGAAACTGATACTATCAGGACAGTGAGTATGAACCAAACCACTAAAATTGTAGATAAGTAGCTCAAAATGTGCTTTAAGTTTAACTACAGGATGAGTTACTTGTTTTTGAGCCTTCACATATCAGCATGTGACCTGGTGTTAGTGAAAATAAAGATTCTAGACAATTTAAGGATAAAAATAATTACGCCAAAAATAAGTAACTATACGTTTGTTGAATAATAATGATTTGGTTTGATGGTGAAGGAAAAAGGACATGAAATGCAGATCAATAAATTGTGGAGCAGAAATTGATTTCAGGTTTCAAACAGACAAATGCTCACACTGAAGTCAATTAAGCAGAAGTTATTGGTGCAACAGGTCATTTAAGTGCTCGTTAAACCTTGGCAAGTTGTTGAGCGGTCCTTTTATC